TTTTTAATTAACTGATTTTTGTATTTTTATGAGAAAAAAATTATTTATTTTGACCAAAAAATAAATAAAATATTTATAAATATTCAAGTGCTAGAACGAATTCAAACAACATGCTTTACTCAAAGAAATTACCAAGTTTTAACTTAATTGTTTTGTTAGCAGTAGAGAAATCTTGTGAGGAAAGATTTGAAATGAGAAAAACAGATTTAGAGACAAAACTCTGAATTTATAACTTTAAACAAATTACTTGAGTTAGCAGATGATTCTAGTTCAGAAAATAGATATGCTATTTCAAGTTTTCAGCGAATGAGTTTCAGATTTTTTGCTGTAACTTCGGTAGTTTTTCGAGTGTTATCTTATACTTGGTGTCAAATCGTTGGCGTTCAAATTGACGTAACACATATTTAAGAAAAAAAAATTAAAATTTGTTAGAAAATACTCTCTAGATCACTTAAAACCAGGACTAAATAACATCAACCATACAGAAAACCATACCATTATACCATACAGAAAACAAGTCAGCCTGCTTAATATATTACTTCAAGGCATTAAATCCCTCGTAAAAATTCATCAAAATTTGATTACGTATTCTTTTAAATCTTTCCGTCAACATTAATTTAAGATCTCTAATTTCTATTTTTTTAAACTTTTTTTTAAAAAGAATTTAAAAATGAGTATTGTGGTTGATGATTTCAACTTATATAATAAATACAATATAACTATTAATAAAATAATAAATGACATTTATTGAATAATTAATAAAAATGCAACTATTAAAATTCAATCAGCGTATGCAATTAAAATAACAAATACAGTTATAACTATAGTTAAAGTTCTAAAGCAATATTAAGAATAACCTTTTCACACTATTGCTACATCTCTTAGGTGAAAATGTTTTATCACTTTTTAAAGGAACCAAATATTAGCTTAAAGCTTAAAAATGCAAATTTGTAGACGAAGTTGCTATGATAACAGAGGAAAATTATAGATTTAAATTTCGAATTGAATCGTAAGCTAAATCTGTTTAATTAAATTTGCATTAATAAAAAAAGTTTTGGGAGCTTTTTATAGAATGATTATTTTAATTAATTTTGAATTTTGTTTTAACAATCTTATTTTTCGTCAAATAATATAAATTTTTGATAGTGAGAAGTGGCTGCGTCCTAAGATATACATATATATTTTAGCTGTATGGCTATATATATATATCTATATTATGTAACACAAGAGCCGAAAGGAAGTCATTGATTTTTTCGAACATAAAAAACGAAAACAACTGACTCACGAAACTTCCACATTAAATTGCATTTCAAGTGAAAAAAGAAATCAATTTTCTACTGTCGTTTAAATGTAACTTTTCCAAAATGATTCTGTTTTCGCCACTTTTCGCTTATGAATGTAAAAATCAATGAAGTTAATAGATTTGTTCTCATTTCTGTTATTTTTTTTAAAAAGTAGAATAAAGGAAAGTTTGCGGCACGTGGGCATAATAATCCAAATGCTCAAATAAATTTTAAATTTTAAAAAATGTTCTGAATTTTATTTGTCGTACCAAAATATGAATAATAAAAAAAAACAGGTTAACAAATTAAAACACGACACACAATTGACCAAACCATGCAAAAAAGGTCATCTTTTCACGATCAAGGAGTTCATAATTTTATGCTTTAAAGATGTTACTAAAGCTTTAAAAATAATTTAAATGGTCTAAGCCAGTGGTAAGAAAAACTAATTTTTTTGTACTTGACTACAACTACTTTATTACAAATGTAGTTAAGTGTAACTACTTTTGGGAGACGAGTTCATGCTTATTTTCAAAACGTTTTTATAAATAGGCTTTTTTAAACACAAAGAATCCTTACAGAATATACTGTTGTCCAAAGTACGTAGATTTCATACTGCAAAATGCCAACCGGATGCACAGCCTAGCGATCAGCGTCCCTGATCTGCGAAGCAAATGGTTATGGGTTCGAATCCCGCTCAAGGCATGGATGTTTCTCTCCGTGTGTTGTTTCCTGTTGTGTGAATGTCGCAGTATAGCGTGACTTAGATTCACAGGTACCCACCGGGTAAAGTCAAAGAGCAGCAGTTCCATCTTTTTCGTCATTTTTTTTTTAAGTTGTTGTGGAGGAACATTTTCACCCATTGTAACGTTAAAATTGAACCCCGTTTTCGTTAAAATGTGAGATAGCTGTCATCTTTTTTCAGATTAAGCTACAGCTAACTCTTAAGTGGATTGCTTTCTTTTAAAGTAGGCCTGTTGTAGAAAATATGGATATCTTAAATAGATAAGTTTCGCAATACACATTTTTGAAATCAATTTCTGAAGTGACCCTTGTATCGTAAGTATTTGTAACATTAAAATAGAACCCGATTTTCATAAAACTTGAAGTATCGATTAATGTATTCAGTCAAAGTTGCAGCTGAACTTGAAGGTGACTTTACTCTTTACTCAATATAATTCTTAATAATCTCAGAAATAACTCTTTTTTAAGTATGACTCGTGTAGAAAATATTGATGAAAAATAAAGTACACGATAAAGTGACAATTTGTAAAATTATCTTCCAAATTGTCCCCATTAAACGATAATTTAATCAAAATTTTCACTTTAAACTAGAGTTTTCAAGTGCTTTTTCAGACAAAGATAATGCTTTATTCTAAAGCGGAATGTATTGTATCCAGTTTTATATTCAGCATACATAGGTGTCATCATACTGTAATAGTTCCAGCATAAATCCATTATAGTTAAAGCAAACTTAGCCGTGGTATTTGTTAAACATGCAAACCTAGTTTGATTGCATTAAAATTTTAGAACCAATCAACTGCGTTATTTTTTGTTATTATAGCAATTCGTTATTTTCCTATCGTTTGTTTTATTCCGTAAATAAAAATATTCAAAGCGTTACATCACTTTCTTTTTAAGTAACAAAAGTTCCATCGAGGAAATAAAAATATTCCATGGAATTATAAGGAACAAGACTACGGTTAATGAGTATTTAGAACAAACCGTGACAGACGATCGTCAAAATGGCGAAATTTCCACCATAACAAGATGTCAAAATTAACATAAGGAAGAAGTAAAAACTGAGACATGTTTTTTCTTCTTCTTATCTTTATTGCGCGATTCTTTATGTTTGGGTTCAGAAATTAAATGTTTAAAGTAGAGTTTATCTTTCGGTAGTGTTTATATTAGCATATTGAGGTGGAAAAAAGCAACGGCGTTAAATTATTCCAAGGAAGTGTAACCCGTCTCGCCAAGTTGAAGCCAAATAGCAAGAATGATGGGACTTATTGTTAACTTCTGCTTGGTTCGCCATGCATTGTTACTTAAAAAGTTTAATAGATAAAAGTATTTGATAGCCGTCTGTGGCCTCAGAGTTTCGCCAAAATAAACAATCCAGGTGAACTCTGACTCGTATTGTATCATTTCCTGTAAGGGAAACCTTTTAATAAGGCTTCACAAATTAGCTTTTCCACTTAATTTTGTTAAGTGAAAATTAGTTTCATTGATTAAATTAAGTGATTTTTAGTATGATCCGACATTTTGTGAAAGGTACTGTTTATGTGATTTCATTAAAGATCGACTCATAATTTTGAGAACCTAAAATTAACATTATGTATCATGTTCTTTTTAGCTAGTCTTGCTTTTTGTGAATGCGTGATCTTATTTTTATGATTTAATGAGAAATAAAAATAAAAATTATGTTTAAAATAAGAATAAATGAGTAGAAAATATTTCTTTTTCATTCAAATTAGTTAAAAATTCATTTTAACATTGTTTACAAAAATTTTGCCTCTTCGACATAGATGCAAAGAGCAAAATAATGCCATCATGGACTGTGTTTAGAAAAGGTTTTGTTCGTTAACAAACTCGCATCTCTCTAAAACATATCCCTAGTCTCTGAATATTAAAAATTATTCACATTTTGAAATTGATTTTTTCAACATTCTGAAAACTTTCTATTTATAATCTTCTTTATTCATTCGGATAAACAAATATTCATTTTAAATTTTTACAAACCTTTGCTTTATTTTATCAATGCTTTATTTTGTCAAAGTAAAATGAAAACTGTCAAAACTATCTTTCTCTTAAAACTTTTGAAAATAGTTAGAATGTGAAAATTTCTTATCGTGAACATCGGCAGAATTCTTAAACACTATCTCCCAGACAGCACAGGCTTTCACAGAGACGCCACAAAATAGTCACAGTAGCCATAGTCACATGTGTGACCGTTTTATACTGTCCCAAAGAGGTCTGAATGTGACTTTGACGTTACTTTATTTTGTGATATCACATGAAAGTCTCCGAGACTATTTCTTATGACTTCTGACACTTGTGGTAGTCTTGGACAACATTACATTAATGTGACTAAAGCGTTGTTGCAACATTGTTCCCTTTAAAGTCACATGGGAACCATTTCACAACTTGTCTTACTAAAGTCACGTGTATACTTTTATGCAACTTTTGTCTCACTAAAATTACAATATTGATAAGGAAAGAAAACGACACTTTTTTTAACGAACAATTCCAAAAATTGAGCATTTTTTTAATCTTTTAATTTTGAATAAAATATTTTACGCAATTTGAATACATTTTGAGTAATACGTTTATGTTAACACAAAAAGAAATTTTTATTCAGGAAGAAATGTCGATTAATTTTTAATAGAATACGAAGCTCTTTGCATTAATGCATATATTGTGTTCCAAGCAATTTTAGATTTGTTAAATGATTCTGAGTTTGAAATGCATATTATAATTTATGAAAACTCGTAAATCTAATTTTGCAATACATAAAAACGCGAATACAGAGATAGTGAATACGATAAAAGACAATTATTAAAAAAAAAAACATCTAATCGATATTTCGCAAACGATTTTAAAATCAGGACAGCTGCCTCTTTTGGCGCCAGCTTTTATTATTATTGTTATTAATTTGGCAACATCTGAAGTCTACCTGAAATATTTAGAACAGTTTATTTTATCTTCCTAGAATTTCTAGTCTTCAGTAAATGAAATAACAAAAAGTTTAAATTTTTTAAATTGCGTTGAAAATGTTTTTCTAATCCTCTACGCTCTTCTATAGTAATAAGTTGAAAAATTATGCTATATAAAATTGTTCTAGAGACATTTTCCATTCATTACCCGCCTTATTTCATATGTTGATATGAGGATCATCAGTTGCTCAAGTAAGTAGAATTATTAATTATTAAAAACAAACAATCTCAATATGATATGTGTTTAAAAAATTTGTTCTTAGTAATAATTCTTTGAGAAGAATGTAATGTTAAATAAAATTTACTTATTCTCTTAAAATTCAAATACACAGAAATTTATTCTGTATTGTTAGGAATGATTATATATTCTATTTAAAAGGTCTTTCTTCTAGTTATTTTATATACATATAAATTTTTTCCAAAATAAACAGAAGGTGATTGGTAATATTTCCGTAAATATTTAATGTAAATAAAACCAGCTTGTTATAACTTTCGTAAATAAAATTAATAGCTTGAATTTTTAAAACAAATATAATGTAATTTTTATTTAGGCATTTCTTAAAGCATTTATTAGCTATTATTTTCCGGAATTTTTTATTCTTCATTAGTACTTTTTTCGTAAATAAAGGATATTTGGAAGACTTTTCTTCTGAAAATTATAAATAACTTTAAGTAAATATTAAGTTGTACATGATTTTAGAACTTTTTAAAATGATTATAATTATACTTGAAGTTTCTTTGAATTAATTCTATGGTCTAATTTGGCCCATTTTATATTGGCCTTAAACCATGTTCTGGATTACACCAAATATTATAACATTCTACCTTCATATCATATAAACCTTAATAATTACAAATTATTATTCAGGTGCTAATTGCAGAGTTCTCCCTAAGTATTTTTAGAAGGCAGTCCACCCTGTCTGCCCTCTTACAAAAAATAAATGCACCCACCTTGCTCTTTTTGTAAAAATGCTGTCCCCCCTTCTTTTAAAAAAATTTTCTGCTTACATAATAACTATGAATAACTAACTGCAATTATTTTTAAGTTCGAAGTTAATGTGTATGAAATATTATTTCTCATGTTTATTTAAATACTTTTAATTCCGGTTTGAAAGGCATTAATCTGGCTAAATATATATGATAGGTTAATTTTCAAGATTGGTGCAATTCAAACTGAAATCGATTATGTTTTTGAAAAAGCACCCTGCCCTATTTTAATTTTAGGTAAATCTCTGTAATTGTAATTATTGCCCTATTCTCACATAAAAAATTTTTTAGTAGTAGCAGATTTTTGAAAATTACCTACCAATACTAAAATTCAGCTTATCAAAATACAAATGGTACACTTCAACTGTGCCACGCGATTCTTTCATGTGATTTGTAGGATTATTAGTGCATTATGTTTATAAGCAAAAGAAACAAAAATATTGCATGATATTAAAATAATTGGGTCTGGTCCAAAGTTGAAGTTTAATAATTAGCCCGTTACCTGTTCTTGACATAATATTACAAAAAATAGTATTTTGTGCTCCCTGTTTTTGACATAATTTGTTCCGTTTTCATTCTACCATTTCTTTATATTTTTAATGTTTCATTTTATTTTCTACTCTTTGCCTATATGATAGCAAAGCGGGATAGAAAAGCAAATACCATCAAAGCAGGTAAGGGGTTGTATTAAATAGATTACTTAAAAGTTATTAACAGTTGTAATGTATTTGTTGGTGTATTAGAAATGAGTTAATAAAATTGAAATTAAATTTAGAAAACATAAACATTTTGTGCATAATTTTATTAAATTTAATTTAAGCAAATTGTACTAAATATATGTCTAAGCTAAATTTTTACAATAATAATCTCTGCCTCACTGACTATTTTGGATTTTTGAAGATAGTGCTGTGTAAATTCGTGACTTTGTAAATTCTGTCACTGGAATATGGCTAAAAAAAAAACTTCGTTAAATAAAGAAATTTGCAACGCATATTTCTTTTTATTATCTATTGTAACATGATAAAAATTGTAATTAAAATAACTGCTTTGATATTTCATAGCCGTTAGAAAAGAAAATACAAAGACGGTGAAAAAATTTTAAATGTAGGGAAAAAAAACACGCAAATTAATAGAGCGAAACTGTTTAAGTTTTATTTCAAAAATCAGGATGTGTTTTCTTTCGCTTTGGCGACTTTTTAGTTTCTTCTAATGAGAAGAAGAATTTTCCTCAATAACCTTAAAGATAAAAATCAAATCTGAGTTAGTACTTTGAAATATAATTAAGAAAATCACTCCAGGAAAAAAATGGGAAATATAGTTATATGAAATGATTGCAAAAGTCCGAGCTTGATTTAAAACTAAATGAATAAGAGAACATATTTTTATTAAAAAATATATATTTATTGTAAACTAATTGAACCCGTTATCTTGAGTATGGAGTAAAAAAAAGTCGTAAATAACATTGGGGAACTGTTTTTGTTTTTCAATGCATGTGATTTTTGAATAGATCTTAGAATCTTAGATATTTTCGCGCGACTGGTTTCAAATCTGCAATAGGTATCTCACTACAAGTTATAGTTTTTACGCAATTCAATAATATATTCCGAACCAGGATTTTTTAAAATTCACTCAAGTAAATACCAAGTTTCGCTACTTCTCTGCTACGTAATTAATGGTAGAAAGTTAGTTGATAAGACATTTCAGTTTCTGATGCGATGCGTTTAGGTCATTATTAATTTCAAAGCACTCTTGCTAAGTTTTCTCAGTCTCCGATAGAATGGATCGTTCGCCTCCTAATGCGTTGATTCAGGTTCGAATCCAAGAGGTGGTTGGTTGATGCGAATTTTGCTCCCGTCTCGCACCGAATACAGCACTGGCGTAAATAGCGTCAGTGGTAAACGGATCATGGTTAGAATCCCTTGCCATCGAACTAAACATGGTAGTTTTCGCAGTTTTCCTCACCAAGTAACGCAAATGTGGGTTAGTTCCATCAAACAATTTTCCACGAAGGTTAGTTTATCCTTATGTTCGATCCAGGAATTCCCTTGTCTTCTGTGTTGGGTTCGAAATTACAAAGCTACGGAGTTGAACATTGATAGTCGTAAACTCAGATTTAGGTCAGCTGTGCAACACCGGTATTAAAATAAATAAAACTAGCAGAGAGCCATTTTTTGATGAATTTTGTAATTTATATTACCGATCACAGCTTTGGACTATCTTATTCTACTATTTTTTAATTACCCTTTTTTTAAGACACCCAGTAATATTCCTATGTATTTTGAGAGATGTAAATTATTTTGCAAACCATACCATATTTGTTAATTTAATTTAACAATCATAACTTAGTGACCATAACATAGTAACTCATTCAATACATAGTAACTTAGTAACACATTCAATACATAGTAACATAACATAGTATCTTATTTTTCTACTTTACGTTGTTGTAATTTTTAATTTAATTGTTTACCTTAACTGTATAAAGCTAGATACTTGATGGATAAGGGTTCTGTGGGAATAACGCCTCAACTAATAAGATAAAGTAACGGAGTGTTAAGGTGTTTAGTTTTTAATATTAAAATAGTTTTTAGTGAGGAGACTTAGAGCTAAAGTTCAAGATTAACATGATTAAAATCCCAAATTTTCTGTGAAGGTTCAAATTTTTTGTGAAGGAAGGTGACTCTGGGTTCGAATCCTAGAGCAGCCACAGTGGTTATGTAAAGTATCCTCAGGGGTAGACGGATCATGGGTTAGAGTCCCCTTGCCATCAGGCTAACAGTAGGAGGTTTTCGTGGTTTTCATCTCCAAGTAACGCAAATGCTGGTTAGTACCATCAAAAACGCCTCCACGAAGGTAAATTTCACTCAATACTTCATCCAGAAGTTCCCTTGTCTTCTGGATTGGGTTCAAAATTACAAGGCTTCGGAGTTGAATATTAGTAGTCTAAACCCAAAAATATTGGATCGGCTGTTCAACGACGGTTATGAAAAAAAAGCTCGACATATGAGTTCCCCATGTTCTTACTGAAGGAAATTTATAGGGTCACATTAACCGTCTGGGATTTGCTTCTCAAATGTGAAGAAAATTATTCGTTTTTTAGGTGCCACATCATTGCGGACAAGAAATGGTTTGTCTACAATCTTTGTACGGGCCACTAAAATTTTTTTTTCTTTTTATCTTTACTTCAAGTGAGGAAATTAAAAGTCACCAGAATCAGTTTTTTGCCAATAAAGAACAAAAATTTTATGAGCTAGGCATCATGCTTCTGCCAGAAAAATGGCAAAAAGCATTGGACCAGAATGTACAGAATATAATTCAACAAAATATTTATTCACTCTAACAAAATCTTCTTTCATTTCCTTAAGGGCGAAAAAAAAATGATATTACCTTCCCAGCGACCCAATAATATTTGTGTAAAATGTTAAAAAAATATGCATTTTTCTTTTCATTGCAATACTTTAAAATTTTATAAATGGGTTTGTTTTATCAATTTTTATCTACCATTAACTGTTTAAAGAAATTGTACTAATTTTTTTTACCCAAAAAACCTTAGGTTGATATAATAAATTCAATGTAAATCACTGTGGTTTAACTAGTATATGGCGTATTTAGATATAAATTGCTTGGAGATAAGCCAAAACTCGGACGAAATAAAATAAAAAGAACTTTTTTGCGTCGCTTTTGTTATAAATTCACCATTAAAAGTCAATCTTATTCATAAGTGACTCGCGTGAACGCGGTGATATCGTCGGGTTTCCGTCATCTGTGTAAAAAGTAAAAGAGAAAAAAAAAAGAATCAATTCAACTTTAGAGATGAATAATCTTACAATAATGCCACCGACGTTTCTTTGTTCATTTCCACACCACTATGTCAGACGATTTTGATCCCCGACCACAGGTCAATACAACTATAATTCGAATAATAAAGAAAAAGGTATAAAGCGACTCATATAATTTTACAAAGGTCAACTTCCGTCAGGGTTAAGGGGGATACACACCGCTTAAATTTAGATTCTTTGTTCTTCGAATATAGAGAGAAAAATATGTATAGAGGTTTGATGATGGAAAATGTGAGCCAGTTTTCCAAGTTCAAACCAATCGAGATTCATAGAAATATAGTTGAATGAATTAAGTGTGTGATAAAAGCTGTTCTGTAATCCAATTGTTACCTAAATTTAGACTTCTAAATGCTACAAGAATATAAG